GAAGAAAGGAAACAAATGGAAGAGCACCGGAAGAAGAGAGAGCTTGGGTATGAGATCAAGCGTAGCTTGTTTCAGCAGGGCTGGGATAGACTCTGTTCCTATGTCCGCGATAGTACGTGTGGCACGAGGAGATATTTCAGATGGCAGCAGTGGGTTGTAAATATTTGGGTTTTTTCGGTGGAAGCGCCCAGAACAGCCAGTGAGCAAACACATCGGTGCTGTGACTTTTTGTTCATGTTAGCGGTCGCAGGTCCCTCTGTTGCCTGTGAGTTCCATTGTCACAGATGGACCTTCTTGAACGCTGGCATGTAACAACGTCAGGCTTTAGAGTCAGTTTGAATGTTTTCTTTTTTTTGTCCTTCAGTCGCTTTTTGAGGCATCAGTGTAATGCCCAGTTAGAGAGACGAGCCCAGCAGATACAAGAGGAGCTGGTAAGAGAAAGTACCCCTCGATTTATACCTTCTAGATACTGTGTGCTGAAGAAACTTGTTCTGTGTGGTTCATTTATGCATCTGCCTCTGATGCCTACAGCTAAGTAGCTAGGGAGCCCCTTTCAGGTTGTGAACAGGGCTGGAGCAAAAAGATGATGGAGAAGGTGGCAGACCGAGCGTCTTGCTGAGCACACCCCTGACACTGTCACCAATAATTGTAGCGAGTAGCCCTGCACACAGGCTGGAAACCTGTTGGATAGTTGTTACTAATCTTGTGGCTTTTCTCAAGGAGACGGACAGGCAAATCTTACTAGCCCTCCTGGAGAAAGAAGATGAGGATCAGCGCCGCCAGTCTGCGCGACGAGAACGAGCTGTTGCAGATGTTGCCTGGATGAAACATGTCATTGAGGAACAGCTCCAGTTAGAAAAGGAGAGGGAGGCGGAGCTGCAGACTATTTTTAGGTGAGTCTACCCGGCTCTGAACGTCATCGAAAGAGACCCTATGTGCTGAATGTTCCTGCCTGGTTGGAATTCCTGTTCGTTAACTAGGCTTTGAAAGCAGACATTAGAAACTGGTGCCTGGTTGGCTCTGCCGTAGAAGTGAGCTCTGCCCCTTCGTCCTGAGTGCCAAGCACCGTGCTCAGCGGTCAGCCTGCCAGGACAGAATCAAAACCTGAGGCTGTTTTTCAGTTGCTTCAGCCCAAAGCCTAGTCCATCATTTCTGTTACGTTAGCTCTAATGCAACAGCTTTAATAACAAAAAAAGGTAGTAACACAGAGACAGCAAGAATTACCTTTTAGTTGTAAGTACTTTGTAACCAACTCTCAATGATTCTTCTCTACTGCTGTGGAGGGGTTTAGTCCAAGTGACCCCAAAACCTGCAAACTGTCTCCTTCAGTAGCTCAGAGCTTGCAGATAAAAGCTGCCTCAGGTTCCACATGTGCTCTCCCTAGCTCAGAGAGCACCTTCACTGCTGACAGGACAGTGCACACTCCATCAGTCAAGTTTTGGTTAAAAGTTTTGTTGCCGAGGGAGATCGGAGCGGCAGAGGGGGTGTGAAGAGAAACCTGGGTGTTCCTCTGAAGCACAGGGTAGCTCGTCTATGCCCACAGAGTATATACTTGTTTTTAACTATAAGTAGTAACCTTAGAGATAATTCTTCCTCTCTCCTTTAGAGAAGAAGCTAAAAAAATGTGGGAGAAGAGGGAAGAAGAATGGGAAAGGGAGAAGAAGGCCAGAGATCGCCTGATGAATGAGGTGACGACCTCTTGGTTTAAAGCAGCCAGCTGTTACCCCTCCACCTTCCAGAGGGTTACAGCACCCAGGGCAGAGGTTTTCTGCTTGTCAGATATGTTTTCTGAGAGCTGTTTAACCGTCTGCACTGAGATTTCCCCAGTTCTGCTTCTAAGCCTGGTCCCTTTCTTGACTTACCTTCTCCCTTCATCCTCTCGCTTCACAAAGGTCCTGGCAGGCAGGCAGCGCCAGATCCAAGAGAAGATGGAGTTGAACAGGCGGGCCCAAGAAGAGTCTATAAAGTATCGAGAGCAGCTGATTAAAGACCTTGAAGAGGCAAAAGAACTGACTAGGCGAGAGAAGGAGCAGGAGGAGGAACTGAAGGCAGCCCAGAGGCAGGAGCTGGAAGCGCAGGTACACTCTGCTTCTCAGGTACACGCCCAGTCATGCCCGATCTCACTCTAACAGCCCGGTCTTCTCCGTGCCCAGCTGACAGAACGCCGCTTGCGAGACCAGGAGGAGCAGCAGCGCCAGAGGGAGGAGGAGGAAGAGGCGCGATCAGCCCGGCAGCGCTGCGAGGAGCTGGTGCGGCAGGAGGCCAGACGCATGGCTGAGCAGGGCTATCGCAGCAGGGTAGGTGGCCGCAGTTACAGGTGGCCCTGATGTGCGAGCCCGGCGGGGAGGGCAATGGCATCACGCAAGAATTGTTGTTTCTGATCTCCACCGTAGTTGCCACGCAGCGCCAGGGCCCATTCCTTCCCCTGGTGCTATTCTAACAGAGGTCCACCATAGTTCTCTTATAAATTGCTTTTCTCTTGATGATACTGATACCTTAGGTCCCAATTTTAAAATAATTTGAGGCAAACTTATTGCTACTGCCTCAAATTCTAATTATTCTTAGCTGCTCAATGCCTTTCTGTCTTCTGTCATGCTTTGCCCAGCTCTAAACACAAAGCTGAATTTGAGTAACCCTGCCTAAACCACCTGCCCAGCAGCTTAGAGTTTCATACTGTGAACTCTGAGGTGCTGTGCAGTCACTCACCTCTGAGACAGCAGCCAGAGAAAGGTGGAGGGAGGTGCTCCTGCCTTAGAGTACCAACTCTTAAACATTACCGCTGCCTTTCTTGGCAGATGTTCTGCACTCTCCACAGTACCTTTGCACAATGTATAGCGTGGGCGCGGAAGGTTAATTCTGGAGCCCATGAAGCAGTTACCATCCTTGTTTTGACCCTGTAGCTCTACAGTTCCCCAAAAGCAGCATGGACCTGAGGATCCTCGTCCTTTGCACCTGAGGAACGAGCACTGCATGCAGCTGCAGACTACAGAAAGAAAAGTCTGAAGAATCAAGGAACTGCTGAAATAACAGGGGCTTTGGAGTAGCCTACAATGGTGCTGAGACTCAACACTGTAGAAGAGAGATTTCTGGAAATATTTAGCCGTGGACCAGGAACTGTAAATGACCCTGTGCTGCGTTTGCTGTTGAAGTGTCAGACTGCACAGAGCGCGAGGAGCACATCCAAAGATGGGTGCCCCATCAACACCGCAGGCTTTACTCAACTGGAGAAACCTTTTCCAAGATCTTTTCTGTACAGAACCAGCAAATAACCCCAAATTTCACACACTGAAAGGGTTTTAGCATTTTATAGTAATACTGTAAACAAAAGATTAAGTCAAAATATTGTACAGACAGAATGACACTGATAAATACAAGGTTTGGAAAAAGGCAAAAAAATTGTTTACTTTCCTATGCAGCATTTTGTAAAGAAAGAGCAAGTTTGTTTACAGGGGAAAAAGAGGAGATCTAGTCATAAAAGAACAAACCACCTTTGTTATTTCAGGTATTCTAACTCCCCCGACCCGCAGTGCTGTACAAGGAGGGCTAATTGACTTACTACCCTTTAGTTCCACTGTTGGCTCTGAACCGC